GATTCTAGAAAAAGGATTCATCAGTCATTTGCATCTTCTGGGCCTCTCCAAGTCCTGTAGACCTCCTCCTCCCTTCTCCCCTCTCCTTGTTCCTCTCTCCTTTACATCATACAAAGATTGGATGTCTGTAGAAGAGGGACCAGGCTTGCCTGGAGAGAACACATCGCTGGAGAGATTAGACTGAGACAAGTTCTCATTTCCAACATCTACAAGTGATGGTTTAGTAAGAAATAAATAACGTAATAGCACCATTTGACATAGGATTTTGGTTACCTGAGAAGTAGTGACATTAATCCCTGAATTAATTCTGAGAATTTTGAGAAGAAATACTGCTGCAGTACTAGAACTATAGTCAGGGTTACCCATCAGGCTCTGGAACTGGGGGGACACAGGATAAACTCAAGAGTTACATCTCATCCAGGAAATCTGCTCCCCCACTTCCCTTCCCTTCCAAGGTCTGTGTTTATTTTAGTAGATAAAGCTCCAGTAGAATATATGGATGTCCCCCAATCAGTTCATCCTGAAGGGAGTTTCTATTAACCAGGAGCTAACAGGAAGAGATTTTCCCTAAATCCCAAAGACACTTGTATTTCAGGCCACCTCTCTAAGTTCGTGAAACCCCAGCTGTCCCAGCAGCTACTACTGCTTATTGTAGCAACAAAGGACCAAACATCCTTAGCTCAGCCTCTGACTTTCCTAGTGTTTGCAACTTGTTCTTGTTTCTCCAGTGGGGCCGTTGATGTCATAAGCTCTTGTATAATTGCTTTAGAATATCTAATTTTGCTCATCATTAGAGCTTTTTAAATTTTATTTTCTTTTTTCTTGGTGTTCTTCCCTTACCAGAGCTTTTTTTTTAAAAAAGGGATTTTTGACATGGTTTAAGGATTAAACCATTGTAATACACGTCAAGTATTCCTTATCTGAAATGCTTGGAACCAGAAGTGTTTCAGGTTTGGGGTTTTTTCCAATTTTGAAATATTTGTGTCTACATAATGAGATAGATTGGTGGGGTACCCAAGTCTAAACACAAAATTCATTTATGTTTCATACACACTTTATACACATAGCCTGAAGGTAATTTTATACAGTATTTTTAGTATAGTGCATGAAACAAAGTTTATGTACATTGAACCATCAAAAAGCAAAAAAGACAGCTCCAGAATTTTCCACTTGTGGCATCTTGTCAGCACTCGAAAAGTCTTGGATTTTGTAGCATTTCAGATTTGGGATTTTCTAGTTAGGGATGCTCGGCGTGTAGCATCTTGAGTCTCTACAAACGATACAAGATTCTCAGATGAAAATAATTCCATGTGTGTCTGCATGCATGTACATGTTAAAGTAAGAGTAGTAAATTATTGTCCGCTTCTCAAGATGCTTCTGATTTGTCTTCATCTGGAGGCAAGGCTCTGTTCTTCCTTGTTTTGTGCCATAAGCATACTCTGTGCTATGTTACTGAATTTACCCAGTCAATAGAAATAAGCAAAACAAACAAAAAAGAGAAATAATAATGGAACTTGAAGGTGAGAAGAGGCCTAGCCATAGGAGTGACACCATGCCGTCTTACCTTTAGAAACACTTCAGTGTGATTTTCACTATCCCCCGTTACACTCGGATTCCAAGCTCATCTTAAAAGTCTCCCCCTACCCCCTCATTTTGGTAAAGGCTTTTTATTTTACATGATAGTTTTATTCTGGATTTTTGTTAATATATTTTAAACTTTTTTGAGAAAGGATTGTTTGTGCTGTTTTTTGTTTTAAATGTAAACCCTTAGTGAGAGGGTTTGACCTGTACATGAGGCCACAAACTTGGCCTTCAGTCCCTTATTTTCTTTGAAAGAACCACTATAAAAGCCTGATAAGATCTTGAAGCTTCTGTGGAGCTCAGCTTTAAAACTAAGATTTGTTAGACTTAACTGGTTTTTAAGTTTGAAGTGAAATTAATACAGGTAATTTTAGTTCCTGTTTTGCAAGACTCCTGGTCTTGACCAGGAGTTCAAGACCAGCCTGGCCAGCATGGTGAAAACCCATCTCGTAAAAATACAAGTATTAGCCAGGCATGGTGGCACTTGCTTCTAGTCCCAGCTACTCAGGAGACTGAGACAGGAGAATCGCTTGAACCCGGGAGACGGAGGTTAAAGTGAGCCAAGATTGCACCGCTGCACTCCAGCCTGGACGCCACAGCGAGACTCTGTCTAAATAATTAATTAATTTTCATATAAATATAGTCTATAAAAGATTGTAGGAAAACACAGTTGTTAGCGATATTTTTAAACATGAATTCATAAGGTTATGCTGTGTCACTAACAGAGATGAGAATACATTCCAAATTGCAAAATTCTTGTTTTGCAAAAATTGACAACATTCAAAATGAATTATCCAAAAAAGCAGCTTTTCCTACATTTCTAGTATTTAGGAATTGAAAACTGGATGTAACTAAAATTTTTTCTCTTTCTTTTTTTTTTTTTTTTTTTGGATGGTGTGTCGCTCTTGTTGCCCAGGCTGGAATGCAGTGGTGCAATCTCGGCTCACTGCAACCTCCACCTCCCAGGTTCAAGCAACTCTTCCTCCTCAGCCTCCCGAGTAGCTGGGATTACAGGCATGTGCCACCACACCCAGCTAATTTTTTTGTATTTTTAGTAGAGGCAGGGTTTTACTGTGTTGGCCAGGCTAGTCTCAAACTCCTGACCTCAGGTGATCCACCTGCCTCAGCCTCCCAAAGTACTGGTATTACAGGTGTGAGCCACCATGCCCAGCAACATCAAACTTTTTTAAAGGTTTGATTGGTTACTTACCTATTTTTAGTTGAACTTTGCTGGAAGAATTACATTTTTTAACTTTTTTTTTGAGATGAAGTTAAGCTCTGTTGCCCAAACTGGAGTGCAGTGGCGCTATCTCGGCAATATTTACAAAATAGTACAGTTGTCCCTCAGGATTGGTGGGGAATTGATTCCAAGACTTCTGCAGACACCAAAATCTCCAGGACCATATAAAATGGTGTACTATTTGCGTATAACCTATGCACATCCTCTGGTTAACTTTATCTGTAGATTACGTATAATGCCTAATATAATGTAAATGCTTTGTAAGCAGTTGTTATGCTGTTTTGCTTAGGGTGTTAAGAAAAAAAAAGTCTGTACATTTTCAGTACAGCTGCAACAATTCTTTTTTTGTTCCCCAAGTGTTTTCAATCTACAGTTGGTTGAATTATGGATGCAGAACCCATGGAATACAAAGGGCAGACCATATATTAAACCCTTTAGAATCCTTGTTGTGTAGTTCTTACAGAATGCACTGTGTATGTGTCTGGCCACCCACAGCCTTTCATACTTCCAGTAGTATTCACTGAAGTAAAGTCTTATGTCTAATGGCACTGTTCTCATAGGTAGGCAGATAAGTTTCAAATAGGAAATTTGCTTATGTATGATTTGATTAGAGTTACTGCTACTTTTCATAATATCTATATCTAGTTAGTAAGTTTCCCAGTCTTATCCTGAACGCTGTAAGTAGTAATTATATGCTTAGATAAAGTAAATTTTCATGGCTGGTGCAATGGCTCACCCCTATCATCCCAGCAGGGATTATAGGAGGGCAAGGAGGGCGGATTGCTTGAGACCAGGAGTTCAAGACCAGCCTGGCCAACATGGTGAAAACCCATCTTTACTAAAAATACAAATATTAGCCAGGTGTGGTGGCCCTCACCTCTAGTCCCAGCTACTCAGGAGGCTGAGGCAGGAGAATTGCTTGAACCCGGGAGACTGGAACTTAAAGTGAGCCAAGATTGCACCACTGCACTCCAGCCTGGGCACCAGAGCGAGACTCCATCGAAATAATTAATTAATTTTCATATAAATATAGTCTGTAAAAGATTGTAGGAAAACACAAATGTTAGCAATATTTTTAAACATGAATTCATAAGGTTATGCTGTATCACTAACAGAGATGAAAATAAATTCCAAGCATCTTGATGCAGTTCTGTTTCTAGCAGAGCTTTTGTGATAATTTGTGTATGTGTTTTTCACTGTATTTGTTAAAACACTTCATTCTTCATTATGAGGCTAGGTTAACTGCCTACTGGTTTCTTAACAATTCCAATAATAGATTTAAATGATGTTTTCCCTTCTTAAACCCATTACCCCATTTAGTCAGATAGATTTTATGTATCCAGATGGTGTAAAGATGTAGAAGTATTTCCATTAATCTTATTCTCTCTTAGATTTTTTTTTTTTGCGTATATCTCTTGCTAGCAGCTCTGAGAGTTAAGTTTCCATGTTCAGAATTTAATCTATAATTGTTAGAATTACCTCTTATTGCTGCTGTCCTGTCCATTTAAATCATCATATCAGATAATAGAAAGCAGAATTTTTGTTTCAGGGCTTTATGGGGCGAATAGATAAAATTTTCTGTTTTGTGTCTCTTGCCATGTGTATAATAACTTCTTTCAAAATTACCATAGAACAAGTAGCTTACATATATTTGGCTTTAATTGTCCACCTTTCCTCCCCCCTCTTTCAGTAAAATGCCTAATTATACAGATTAAAGATTGATATTTTAGCAACTCTATTTTAAGACAGAAAAACAACAAACTAATCAGTTATGTATTCTTTGTATGTGCAGTACCAGTATTGACCTCTTAAATGTTTGTAAGTTGCTTACAATGTTAGATAATAATGAATGGTGGTTGCCTCTAAGGATTTAAAGCAAAAATTAAAACATTTATTTTCAGTCCAAATACTTTCCCTGTGTTTTCAAATACTCTTCCTGTAACTATATATTTAAATTGGTCTGATATGTTACTTTTTACTGATTTAGAAAGTGTATAATTGGTACATTTTATGGCTCAAATTGCAGCTAACACAGATTCATAATTCAAGCTTAAAGATTTACATTTTTTGAAAATTTGACATGTGAATTTGACAACGTGTTGTTATTTGTGAATGAAAGCAGTTTTCAGTAGTTTTTTTTTTTAAAAAAACTGTGTGATCTGAGATACACTTGAAAAAATGAATTAAATTATTTTTGTTTCATATCAAGAAATGGATGAAAAGAGGCTGCTGGATCCAGGGTTGAAGGTTCATAAAGGCCTCTGGGATTATACTCTGAAGAACCCGCAGACGGAATGCCTGAGTGACTGAAGAAAATGGGTGCTAATGCATCTAATTATCCTCATTCATGTTCCCCGAGGGTAGGGGGAAATTCACAGGCCCAACAGACTTTTATAGGTAACTTTCAGTTTTTCTAACTTCATTTTCTTTTGTGACTATAATAGAATTGTGTTTTCGATAGTCTCTGTAGATGACAAAAGAAGTGAGCTGTAGTTATTATAATAATTCTGCAGCATCTAGATTTTTTTCCCCAACAAATGTAAATCTTAAATCTGGCTTATCTTAAACAAACTGCTTGTAGCACAGTTGAGCTTTTCTGTGTTTTAACCATAATTGCCAATTACCCTAGGCAAACTAGCCATCTCCGTTGGTGTGAAAAGGGTGAAGTACATATTTCCTGTGTCTCGTTTCATTTATTTTGCCCATACAAATGCAGACTTGTGTAATTAAGAAGAAAAAGAAACATTTTACAATTATATACAAGTAATATTCTTAATTTACAACTATGCCTACTTTTCATTCCTAAAAAACACATGATTAAGATCTATGACAAATGTCCTTTGATAGCCAGGGAACGAAAGACTATTTCTAAAAAAATTTAGACTAATTTGCCCTGTTTGTCCCTATTTCTTATTTAATATAAAAAATGTAGGCCAGTCACGATGGCTCACACCTGTAATCCCAGCACTTTAGGAGGCCAAGGCAGGAAGATTGCATGAGACCAGGACAGGAGTTCAAGACCAGCCTGGGAAACATTAGTGAGACCCTATCTCTACAAAAAAAAAAAAAAATTTTTTTTAAATTAGCCAGGCATGGTGGCACGCGCCTATACTCCCAGCATCTTGGGAAGCTGAGGGTGGGGAGAATCCCTTGAGCCCAGGAGTTTGAGGCTGCTGTGAGCTATGATCTTGCCACTGCACTCCAGCTTGGGCAACAGAGTGAGACTCCATCTCTAAAAGTGAAATTGAATTAAATTGAAAACTAAAATGAGTTATTTGAACTTTTTATCTTACTTTATAAAAAACAAATGCAATTTTGAGTGGTTCGGTAATGTCTGCTTACAGAGTTTTTCAGCATGAAAAATGTTAAAGTAAACGTTGATAATGAATGTTAAGAAAAAAGAAACAAATTTTTATTTGTTTAATTTTCTTCTTAGGGACATCATCCTATTCTCAGCAAGGCTATGGTTGCGAATCAAAATTGTATAGCCTTGACCATGGCCATGAGAAACCACAAGACAAAAAAAAGAGAACCTCTGGCCTTGCCACCCTCAAAAAGAAGTTTATTAAGCGTCGGAAATCTAATAGGTCTGCCGATCATGCCAAGCAGATGCGAGAACTCCTCTCTGGGTGGGATGTTAGAGATGTCAATGCATTAGTGGAGGAATATGAGGGAACGTCAGCATTAAAGGAGCTTTCTCTACAAGCCAGTTTGGCTAGACCAGAAGCCCGGACATTGCAGAAAGATATGGCTGATCTTTATGAGTACAAGTATTGTACTGATGTAGACTTAATATTTCAAGAAACTTGTTTTCCTGTTCATCGTGCCATTTTGGCAGCAAGGTGTCCATTTTTTAAAACACTGCTTTCTTCCTCACCTGAGTATGGGGCAGAGATAATAATGGACATCAATACAGCTGGTATTGATATGCCCATGTTTTCTGCTTTGTTACACTACCTTTATACAGGAGAGTTTGGAATGGAGGACTCAAGGTTTCAAAATGTCGATATCCTTGTTCAGCTTAGTGAAGAATTTGGAACACCAAATTCCCTTGATGTAGATATGCGTGGACTCTTTGATTACATGTGTTATTATGATGTCGTCCTTAGTTTTTCTTCAGACTCGGAACTGGTTGAAGCTTTTGGTGGAAATCAGAACTGTTTAGATGAAGAGCTCAAAGCCCACAAGGCTGTTATTTCTGCACGGTCCCCATTTTTTCGAAATTTATTACAAAGGAGGATACGAACTGGTGAAGAAATCACAGACCGAACTTTGAGGACTCCCACAAGAATTATATTAGATGAGTCCATCATACCAAAAAAATATGCAAAAGTGATATTACACTGTATGTATACCGACGTGGTGGACCTCTCTGTTTTGCACTGTAGCCCCTCTGTGGGGAGTCTCAGTGAAGTTCAGGCTCTCGTCGCAGGGAAGCCAAACATGACCAGGGCAGAAGAAGCCATGGAACTTTACCACATAGCACTGTTCTTGGAATTTAACATGCTTGCACAAGGTATGAAGTTCTGGTTTTTAATTCTGATTTCTAGAATTATGTATTGATCTTCCAAATTGAAAACACAACTAGTATATTCTATGATTTCAGTGTTTGGGATGTTACAGGGTCAGTTTTTTTGAACCTTCATTTATGACATCTGAGACAGATTGAGGGTCAGTAGTAATGTGGTTCTTTATTTACTATTAAAATCAAGCATTCAATACTAGTGATTTAAGAGCATTAAATGAGACTTGAGGTTCTTCCTTCCCTAATGTAAGATGATAGGTATGGGAATATATAATTACCGACCTACACCCTCTCCACCCGAGCTTTGAAAGAGCCCAGTTTCCCACATTTTGAGTCTCATCTTTATGTTCAGTACCTTGTTGATGTTTAAATGTTTGGATAAGAATAAAAAGTCATTACAAAAATGAAGATAGTCACATTTAGATATGAATTTAGTTGAATCAGAATTGGGCAGGGCTTCTGATTTAAATTTTAAAATATTCCTTATCTTATTTTTAGATTCAACTTGTACATCAAGCCACAGCCTACAGCATGTAAAACACAGTTAGCACTAGATTCATGTGCCTTCTTCATTTAATTTAAACTGAAATTTTTTAAAATTAGGACAGCACGTTTTTTATGTTATAGGCAAACAAATTCATGAAAGTTACATTAAAAGATGTATATATCTGTTGGTAAATGTTAGAATCTTAACATTTCAGAGCTGGAGAGAGACCTTTTGTAGGAGAGCAAAGGTAGTTTGCTGTTTTGACAGTGCATTCTTAGCTTTCTGTGACCATATATTAAAAGAAAATACGCTATGTGACAGGAGGCTGCTTGAGATTTTTAATTTAGCTAATGCATATTAGCTAAAAGAACATTAGAAGTTGCCAGTTAGAAGAGAATATTAATGGTCTCAGTAAGAGACATGAATTTAAATAAGGAAAGCTAAGTACTGAACTTGAAAATAATATGTATTATATGTTTAAGTCAGCCTATCAATAGGGCTTTGAGAAATTGAAAAATAGCCCCAGTTAAATAACAACATTAAGCCAGTCTCAGTGGTATGTGGTTGTAGTTCCGTCTACTTGGGAGGCTGAGGCAGGAAGATCACTTGAGGTCAGGAGTTCAGGGCTGCAATGAGCTGAGATCATACCTGTGAACAGCTACTGCACTCTATTCTGGGCAACATAGTGAGAACTCAGCTCTATTTTTTAAAAATCTTAGTAATAAAATGGGAAGTTATATAGAAGAAGACGTTGAATAAACATGAGTGGGAAAATGCTGAGATTTCTTTTACATAAAGAATCTTTTAAAACCTTACTTTACCATAATCCTTTTATAATAGATGTTTTATTTTATGACGACAATCAAAATGTCATTAAAACATTTTATTAGTTTAGAGTAAGAATCATTGTATCAGTCATAGACTATTTAGATGTCAAATTGTAGGAAAAATATGTTATCAAAAATAGAGTAGCAGTTTAAGCTGCTGTTTTTTTCTGTAAAACCAAATTTGTCAGAAAATGCTTCTACAGAAAAATTTGAAGTTTGCTGTATTACCAAAGAGATATAATAATCTTTATTTTCTGAAAATATTTTTATTTTTGATGGTTTTTAATAAGAAACAGAATTATATATACTTTGTATGAGTAAACATTCTTTAATATATGTTTTTTAAGTTTTGTTTGTTTGTTTTTAAAGACGGAGTCTTGCTCTTGTCACCCAGGCTGAAGTGCAATGGCGCAATTTCAGCTCACTGCAACCTCCGCTTCCTGGGTTCAAGTGATTATCCTGCCTCAGCCTTGTGAGTAGCTGGGATTACAGGCTCCTGCCACCATGCCCAGCTAATTTCTGTATTTTTAGTAGAGACAGGGTTTCACCATGTTGGCCAGGCTAGTCTCAAACTCCTAACCACAGGTGATCCACTTGCCTCGACCTCCCAAAGTGCTGGGATTACAGGCGTGAGCCACCGCACCTTGCAGGTTTTTTTAAAGTTTTAGATGCAAAGTAAAATTGTCAGCCAAGTCTAAGATCTTTGGTAATACTTGATTGTTTATCTAGAGTTTATCTTGAGTTAATTTCTTTTTTTTTTTTAGTGTTTAGCTAAAAGTTATATTTTATCCAGTGTATTTAAAGACATAAAATAATACTTTTTGCATTACCTAATCTGGTTACTTAAAACAAGCAAAAAAAACTCTTGTGTACAAATATTCCCTTAAATGTGAATATACATGCTCTTCTTTTTCCCTTTGTTACTCAAAATAGAATTTATTTTTGTTTTGTTTTTTGTAACCCATGTAGGGCATATCTTTCCCCCATACCCATGAAACATTCATATTAAGGTTTATAAAAGGCTATAACTTTAACATAATTTTTACCTCATTCCCATAGGAAGAAGAATATTAGGTCACTTGAGGTAGGATTTTATACCATAAAGCTCAAGAGTTCAGGTTCTAGAACCAGACAGACTGGGTTTCAGTTCTTCTCTACTGTGTCTTTCGTTTGACCTTAACCGAGTCACATAACCTAAGCCCCTCTTTTCTCATTTGTAAAATGAGGATAGTAAACCATGTAAGCTATGATGATTAAAGGAAATAATATATGTTAAATGATCTGAATAGCACCTGTTAACATAGTAAACATTCAGTAAATGTTAGCTGCTAAACCATAATAATCACCACAACATATGTCTCTCACTCCCACATAGTTTTTTTCTAAAATAACTTTAAGTTTAAAAAATAATTTTACTAGGCCAGGTGTGGTGGCTCACACCTGTAATCCCAGCACTTTCGGAGGCTGAGGCAGGAGGATCACTTGAACCCAGGAGTTCAAGACCAGCTTGGGCAATATAGTGAGACCTCATCTCTACAAAAAA